TCCAATCGCCGGTGGGAAGTATTTTATATGGTAGGGTCGTATTGCGTTGACGGAAGAGTGCCTGATTGTCAATGAGATTGCCTTGATGAAAAATATAATCTCCATAATGCCCATTTATTTGTAGTTTTCAAAAAAACATTATAAAAACAACAAGCGACCCCGCACAGTCTCAGTACTTAAGACCGCCTGTATGTAAGCGATGGCGATGTGATTATCTTGAGCTGCGACAATTTTGTGCTTTGTGAATTGATAAATACTATGCACTTTCTAATTTAATTTGAAGTATTCAGCGAGCCATTTCATTCAAAAGTAGTCGGTTTACGTGGAGACTCCAACATTTAACATCCTCTGAGCTCATGTTTACACTCGCCAACTCTGCGGTTAGTTTACTAACCTCATAGCGGAAACCGGTGTAAGCTTTTGGGCAAGTCAGGTGCCAAATAAATCAGTCTTTTCGTTGTCATCATGCCTCAAAGGAGACAAAGAAGAAGGTACGAGGACATGGACCGAATTATATTGAGATTGAAGTTTCGGACATTCGCTCAGTTCCGTCGTCAGAGTATCTAGGTGATTGCTCCTGTTTGTCGTGGCTGTTTCAGTCTTGCCGCATGCTTGGTATTATATCCGCTGCCGACGCACGAACTTTGACCCGACTGTTCGCTGCTGGTTGACCGTGCGATTGACCGCTGGTGGGCTCGCGTGACCTTTGTCCCCTTTGCGGCTGTCGAAATTGTTAGCAAGTTGGCAAGGCCCGTGTCTCGTCGACCGATGGACTGTTCAGTTGTTGCTGCCCGCATCAGCTGATGTCAATCTCGTGGGTGCGCCGGTGAGGTGGTGTCCCACGCCAATCCCGTGGTTCCTGGTCTCCTCTGCTCCTATTTTCCTCTGACCTCAGCTGTATTCCACCTTTGAACTTGCTCTGCCGTCCTCTTGGCCTTGTTCGAACTGACTTGAGCCGTGTGCGTACTGAGCGAGAGTTCGAAACGTCAGTCTCAATGTAATTCTGTCCACATCCTCGTACCTTCTTCTTCGTCTTCTTTGGGAGATGATGAAAACGATAAGATATCTAAAACTCGAATCTTCAGGCAAGTTTTTCTTAGCCAGGACTCACCCAAACTCTTATAGGCAGCGAATTCATTAAGCATCATCTTGACGCCAATCAGTTCGGCAACTTTGAAGCAGTCCTCTTGAGGCACTCCCATTGTAAATGCAACAGGCCAGAGTAGGTATGAGAATATGAGCTAATAAAGAAAAAACCACAAGATTGCACTTCGAAATACCGAGTGAGGTGAAATGGTAAAAAGAGTTATCTTTATCTTAAAAGTCCCATAGGTTCCTAGATCAAAGTAGGGTCAAAAACGAACACATACGGAAATCCGGATAAGATATGTGTTGCGAACAAGACTGTGCATCTATAGATTTTAATCCCATCTTCCTAGTTACAGATAAAAACAAAATTTCTGAGTTAGAATAAGCATACTTCAAAGGTGAGTGGCGTTGGTATTTGGGCGCGCTCTCCAAACCAGGTGAGAAGACCGTTCATGAACCGATAAAGACTCAGGAAGGCAATGAGATTTGAAGCGATGCCAACTACTATGGGCACGGCG